TTTTTGTGTGTGTGTTCCTCGCTGTCTGTGGGTGACTGGGTCCTAGGGTCCCAGTCCCAGTACCAGACCCTTTTTTTCGATCCGGTTTATCCCCGTTGTCTCATTCGCTATCGCTAACACAAACTACAGAAAGCAGCCCCTCCTGGCCGTTGCCACAGTTGCAACCGGGCTGAGACACCCGAATGGCGCCGCGGTCCAGACGGTGCTCGGACTCTATGCAACGCATGTGGATTGCACTATGCCAAGCTGACGCGCAAGATGGGTGCCAAACAGGCATCGTCCTTGGGTTCCAACCTTAAACCCAAAACGATCGACTCCGCATCTCCAACTGGCCGTTAACAAGTCAGGCGTCTCTGTATGTGGCGTTGAAAAAAACAAAAAGAAAAGAAAAAAAAGAAAAAAGAAAGAAAGAAAAAACAAAAACGAAGAAAGGCTTTGGGATTAGAAGTGTCCGGCGTTTTGTGCCTCTATCTCCTCGTTGATCATAAACCTCTTATGTTGGTGTCATTCCTGATAATTTACCTTGGACATGATACAGTTCGATTTGTTTTGGGCCCCGGGTTTCCTTTTCAGGTGTGGTTATGAAATGTTCCGAGCATGTTGGACTTTTTCTGTTCTTGTCCGATTGGTCGTTGGAGTTACTTTTTTAATACCCCTCGCACGTTGTGGGAAAAAGGCATCTGGATAGACTTTCGTTCTGGTTATTGTGTCGTTTTCTGTGGGACCAGCATGTACACAGTTTCTTTCTCCTTGCCTTTGATTATTTCCTTTTGTTCGCCGGTTTTCCCTTACTGCTTTGCGATCTGTTACAATTATACCCCAGTTACCCACTTCCCCTACCTAACCTTACGTTGATTGCCTTACACTCCCAGTGTGCCATATGATGTTTCTTATGCACTCATGTTCTCCATGGGAGGTTTCAGAGGCTCTTGACTCGATGCAGTGATTAATGTAACCTTATTTGATTGAATTGTCTCTGTTCGAAAAGTTGACTAGTCAAGGACAATAATACTATACATATCTGATATAGGCCAAGATCTCTCTATCTTTCCCTCCCTCGCTCTCGCCTGTGGCACCAAGTTCATGGGTCTGTAGTGGTGGCGAATATCACGCGCTGAGCTTGGCTTGAGGTGGTCTGATGAAGATGGCCATCTCCTATGTGAGCCCTGGATCAAGGTGTAAGTGAGGGGACTATGTATTATGGTCCAAGTCGGGGTTTAGTTCTGCATCGATCGGTATTTCCGTGACCCTGTAGATCCGCCACCGCCGTCATCGTGTTGACCTCCCCGGGCGTTCGGCGATGTTTAGATGGTTTGCCTCCTAGTCTGATTGACCATTTTAGGTAAATGGATACCATTTTCACTAGTTGCATGGTCATCGGGGTCCCCATCGCTACCACCAGTAGTTCTAACTAGGTACTAAATGGTTGGATCTAGTCTAATGCTATGTGAATCTCGACACCTCTTATGATGGGTATCCATACGTCATTCTCAGAATTGAGGCTCTACAATTTTGGGGTGTCAAAATAAATCATTTGGACACCGAAAAAAAAAAAAAAAAAGGTATCTCATATTAGTATGCAGCGCCCGATTTGCGAAAAAGTCAAGTTTGCCATCGGTATAGCCGCAATCCTTAGCTTACCCAAACCAGTATAGCATATACAATTTACGTAATCAGGCTCAGATGCCCAACTGCCAACCGTTGATTGGCTGGCTGTTCATGGCGGCTACTGCCAAGTGGCCCTAGAACAAACTAGAACCAGCTCACGGGACCATCCAGATGGCCTGATCGGCCTCGATCTTTTCTTTTTTTGAGCGGCTTATCGCTTCCCCCGCGGAGAAAGCGAGACTTGGCCGATTGATGTTGTTGGGGTTTTTAAGGTTCATCAATTTTTTTCGGTTTAAAATTTTGCTTTAGCAGAACGATATTAATCTTAGAGAGTTTAGTTGGGGTGGATTGGTTGGGTCCAAGGGCTGATTCAAGGGGCACCAATGCGACTATCGAAATCGATCGGGATCTGATCTCAATCTCATCGCATCTCATCTCATCTTGCATGATATCCGCTTCAACCGATCATGGCTTATGTTTCCAACGCCACCAGATGGTAACGGGGGAATTTGTCTCACCGCTCCATAATTCTAGGCGGAATATGTGATGCCTTCTAGAAACACGTATATGCGGAGATGGCGATGGAGAAGGAGTTGTCTCTGGCCGGTTCTCCGTTCTGACCATCTGCGGCTTTCGGTTGGTGTAACATCTGTGTTTGGTATCTAGCATTTTGACTTCGAAGGTTTCCCCGTTCATTCTAGATTATGGAGACAAAAGAAGAAGTTTGTTGAGATCAGAAAGCTCCTTGAATTTGGCGTTGCCTTTGTCATTGTCATAGTGAGGCTTCAATTAGGTACATACTAATGTATGCCACGACATACATACCTAATTAGGTGGCACTTTTAACTTGGTCCCTAATCTCTCGGTCCCCTACCTAAATTAAATACAGACATATACCTTATTACCTACCGATACATACATACATACATACATACGTGTACACCTAATTATTTCCATTACTATACATACCGCCACTTTTGCCCCATCAGTTTAAAGACTTGACTTGACGTCGAGTATTTGGAATTTGCCTGCCGCGTGCATCCGTGCCTCACTTTGCACCTCAATGATTTCAAATCACTTCGATCATGCCACCCTCTAACCTAGACGGTATTAGGCTCCGTTGCCATGCAAATCCTTCCAGCCGAGGGTTTGCCCCATTAGGAAGTTCATGGTCTGATTGTATTCCAAGATTGGAACCGTCCGTCGGTTTAGGTTGGTTGGTTCCATTGATCCAAAAGGATGGAGCTTCTCCGAGACCCGGCCGGTCGGGTCCAAGTCGACGTCATTTGGGAGGTAATTTGGGGGCGTTTGTTGACGTTTGTTCTGGAAGATTACGATTGCTTTTTTATTCTGGACTTACCTGGCTAATTAGGTCATTTTTCTTTCATTTGTTAATTATGGGTGTTTAGTCTCTCCAGGACTGTCTTTTTAAGGCCCTGTCATGTTTTTCATGACTTATTGCCTACTGAATAACTAACTGTTCTGCGTACATACCAAGTACTCCAAAACCACCCCGAATAATGACTCCAACGATCATCCCTTACTACCAAGTCAGACGTGGTCCCATTATTTGACCCCTCGAGCGGTCTACCACCGAAAAATCATCCATCCTGCACAGGACACGTAGTCCTTACTTGAAAGATACGAACCAAAAAAAATAAAAAATAAAAAATAAACTAAACCAAGATCAAATAATAATGACAACAACAACACTAAAAACAAAAAGACTTCAGGCAAGATGGATCTGCAGATAAACCCCATTTAGGAAGCGAGTCAAGTTCTGACTGGCAAACGAAGGGAAAAAATATGTGGGGTATATGCAGAGACATCCTTTTGTCTTGACCATCCTCAGCTGAACTCATCGTGGCTGTGTATATGCAACACGTACATGATGCATGCGTACGTGCATGGCGTTTACCGTACTCCGTATACCCACCCGATACTTGTCTCGTTTATCATAATTACTCAAGGTAATTATAGTATACAGCATCTGGAATCCTCAAGCGGTTCTCTGGCTCCGATATCTCTGCCGTCTGATTGCTTGGATATATCTACCGATTGTCCCCGTATCTGACGAAGGGCTTTGCAAGCTTGGCTTGGGCCCACGGTAGAAGCAACGGGAACGTCCTTATTATGGCTCTTAGTGCGTGGCTCCACCGGATCCCAGGTACGCGGATACGCTGTTGAATAGTCAGCGCTTTGCACCTTTTTAGTGCTTTCCACCCCTTGCGCCGGGGAAGATCTTGAATCGGGCTCTTAAGAAGGAGGAGAACCCCGTGCTCGGGGAGTTGTAGATCCCTAGAGATCATACTTTGGTTTTGGATTTGATACTGGTTCGCATGTTCTACTTTCGCTTTTGAGTTGGAAGGTGATGGGGGTAAGGATTCTCCGGTAGTCTCTTGTCTTTTTTTTTTTTTTTTTCATTACTAGTTTGTATCTAAATTTTTGCTATTACATATTGTCTGCGAGCTTCTGTAGTTTAGCTACTACCTAAGGGATAACAATCGATGAACTACCTGTCTGGTTATAACTTACATATACGTACATAGGGAGTACACACATACATACCGTAAAGATCTCATCTCAGCTTCCTCTTCGTTAATAGAAATCCAGCCGAGTCGATGTACTACCTATAACCAACTATTCTTCGAACTAGTCAGTTGTACAACGTTACGTTTTAAACCCGCCTGTAGCTGCTAGTGCCGTACATATGTCGTGGAACACGAGACGGAGGGCCACGGGAGCTGAAAAGATAATGGGAATAGTTTATTCAAGACCTGCGTATCAGATTGGCAGGGATGATGGTTACACGGGCTGTGACTGGAGGACTTCCTCTTAATTAGGGTTATCTGAATTGATCTCATGCTTCTGTTGCATGAAATTTTAACCTAGTTAGTACATACATGCATATTTTTGTTTTCCTTGACGGGTTTGATGGGAATACAAACTAGCTTGTACTCCGTCTGGTATGTATGTATGATGCCGTATGAAAAAAAAGGGTAAGTTGTAAACAATGAATTCAACGGTTCCAAAAAGAAAGAAAAGAAAAAAAAACGAAAAAAAGCAAAGAAAATCAAAAAGAAACCAATCTCCAAACTATTGAAGTTGATCTTGAATTTAGGCTTCCTATAGTCTCGGGATGATCGGAAGCATCAGCAAATAATCCTTGCGATTATCAGCACTATAATAATAATGGGTCACGGACATGGTCACGGACTCCCCCCCTGAGAAACAAAAAAATGGGGGTTCTCCGTAATGAGACCTGGAATGCGGCGCGAACACGAGGGGGCAAAAAATAAAAATGAATATGATAATAATTTTGTTTCCTTTTTTTCCCTTTTCTACTCTCTTATTTTTTTTAATTCTCTTTTTTCGAAATGGTTCGATGGGGTCTGCATACATAAACTCTCTCCCCTAGTGCAGAGTCATATGTATGGTTAAATGTAGCGTGCCAAATTCCTATAGGACAAAAGAAAATTATTAACATACCCTATGGTTCCATACTGGGCAGTCAATTTACTCCAATAATATATACTATATCATCTTGTTCTTTCTAAGTTAATTAATTAATTTCCCGTCTTATTGTTACGTATCGGCAAGGCCTTTACTCGGAATCATAACCATATCCCATCCTTCTCGATATTACGTCGACCGAATTCCTGCGAAGAAACACCGAGAAAAGGACATCATAAATAATGCAGAATGCAACAATGTGTTTACGGAGTACTACTAGTATGCAAATGCACGTACGGGATTTGAACGACGGCCCCTGATTCACCCCTTCAACTCCACCGACAAATCCCGTTGTCGCAGGCACGACTGGGATGGAGAACCACTGTGGGAATTTTTTTAGACCAATACATAGTAATGGTGGGCACGACCATTGTTGAACTAAAAGTTGATCTAAACCCATTTTCAAAAGGCTACAGGATTTGGATCGGTGCCAAGTGGGGAAGCCCGAGGCAGCTGCTTATCGTTCTTTGGGTGGAAGTCTCAGCCGCGATCGCCGGGAGAGAGATTATCGGAATCGGATCGATTATGGATCCTGACGCTGGTGGTGGGCCGTTTTTTTTTTTTTTCGTTTTCTTTTGTTTTCTTTATTTTCTTTTTTTCTGGAGTAATTTGAGATATAGAATTTTTTTTAGTAATCGTCCCCTTTTTTTTAAAAAAAAAAAGAAAAAAGAAAGAAAAAAATTTTTTTCGTCCTTTTGTTTTTCTTTCGCTTATTAGAATTTGGAATTACAGTAAAGGATCCGAGTGTGCATGATGGTTCGGGGATCCACTCCGAGGAGATCGTTGGGCGTCTTAGTGAGAGACCCCGATCGTTAGCTTGAGATCTCTCCTCTTTCTCATTTGTTTCTTTTTCTGTCGAATTCTAGCTTGGTAGCCGATTCGCTCCGTTTTGCCGACCCGCCATTTTTCGCTGGTCTTCTGACGAGACGGACAGATCATACTAGTTCAAATGATAGTCGCGGACGTTCTCGGTACAGGATCCCGACTCGATTAAGAATCCCATGTCGGTGAAGATCGTGAATCCCTTCGTTTAGGATTGCCGTACGCAAGGGATGCGTTGACAGCTGTCATGGATAAGAGCTATCGATTTTCAATCCGCTCCAGGCAGCCGAAAAGGCAACGGCGTTACCGGCCTGTATTATAATTTACTAGCCCGTCAAATCGGACATTTACCCGGAGGCTTATTGAGATCTTGACCGTCTTCTCCCTTCCTTTAGGTCATAGCAAGGGTTACAAGATACACTGCAGCAGACATGTATCGTCCGTATCACAACCGGAACCAATTTAATTTAATTGAATGTCAGTCAGCTGTGGCTATGCTGCAAACACAAGTTCCATGCGTAGAAAATATCCTGGATGCCATTGGCCAGGCCTCCCATTGAGAACATTGACATCTGCCCTTGCATCAGCTTGCCCGGAATGGCTGTCGTTCATGGTTTTGTAATGTGAAGTTATGCAATAAGTTTGTTCTGGTACTAATAGTGAGGCTGGATGCTGCGACACATATAACCCCGGACATGATTATACGTATCATGATTCCATGCCACATCTTGCAAGGCCCTGGAGCGATCGCGCACTCGAGATTTGTTTGCTGAGACGTCGGCTGTCAATGCTGCATTGTGGGGGTTCCCATGTCTCTCGACTATCCTCAGGTGTTGTCTACGTCAGTTACAGTTGTTATGTGATTGTTTGAACCTGATATCACATCGCTAGCTTTATATATCAATCTCGTCTGCGCACGGACTGCATGGAGCCGTGTGCGATCTCGATATCATTCCGTTGGCGCCAATAAACAGGGAATATATTAGGAACTATATGAGTGAATTCTTGAATTGGAAATATGTATATATATATATGTGTGTGTGATTCGCGACGAATCGAGTGGTTTCTTGCGAGCTTGGTGGGATGAGTTCGACCGATTGGGCGATCGTTGGTATGGTGATAGATTTGTGGCGTCTTTCCGCTTGCGTATAGACAGCCTTTCTCAGAGAAACTAAACACTAGTAGCAAGTATGAAAAAGGACTTCTTACTACTAATAGGCATAGTCAAAGATGGAAACTTGACTCGAAATACCGACATAGGCCTCTGTAGTAGAATGGGATTTACCTGTCAGTTTTAAAACTCATACCTCAGTTGACAAATAGTCCTTGGATGGATATGGAGTCAAGGCGAGCATCAAAACTGTAGATGTTTATTCTCCACAGCTTATTCTATTGATACATTGCTTTCTCGGAATTTGAGGCTAGGAAGAAATATATGTTCCTCTGACATGTGCCACCGCTCTGGGCATGTTATACCTAATGTGTTTCTGTCCTAGTTCGCTGGTGAATTATGATAACGGTACTCAATCTTACAGGTGTTATCAAACACTGTGCTCGAGACTCAGATACATAGCCAGAAATTATATTAGATCATACATCAGATGAGTCACGTCAAAAATCCGAAGAAGTATAGGCTATATCATTGAGTGATGGATCATGGAAACCTGCAATGCTACGACAAGGCTTGTATTAGTTTATCTCAAACTGTGATAAAGGGGGTGAGTAACAGTAATTTTGCACATTTGTGCATCGGTGGTGCAGGCTTCTAGGTGTATTATTTGCAGATTATCGTTGACCACTTCCTTGTAGAAACGTTCCTTTGTACATCTTCCAGGGTCAGTAACGCAACTAAGGTAGATATTAACCGGATAATATGGGCACAACCATTCGGACTAAAACCAATGTACATAAACAAAACTAGTGCCATGAGATAAATTATATAACTCATAGCATCTATCTATATAGACCTAGAGGGATCCTATATTCTCTACTACCCTGCTCTACCCTGCTCTATCCCTTAATCCCCCGAGACCTTGATAGGGACCTAAGCTTGAGTATCAAAATTTGTACTAAATTCCCACCAATCAGAGCATGTTAGCTCAGGGGAAGAGCGCCGGGCTCATAACCCGGAGGTACGATTTGTCCTTTCACCATCCAATTACAATCCGATTCCTAACAAAAAATAGGTCCCTGGATCGAAACCAGGACATGCTATCCATATCTTTTTTTTTTTTTTTTTTTTTTAGATCTCTGGTAAAGCCTAGTTTGAAAAGACTTAAGGCAGCAGCCTCACGATATTGTCCTGCACAGCTGCATCCATATCCTGCTCTAACCCTCCGTTATAATTAAAGTTCGGTCACAACCTCTAGCCCGCTAATCAACCCCCCTATAGTCCTGAAACGCCCTTATCTGAACCCCAACAATACTCCTCACCTTCCCAGGATTATCGCCCCCGACCACCATCCTCGGGTCTCTATGTATGATAACCCTGTATAAACCCCCAACTCCGTGATCCTTTCCAGGAAGTAATAACAATGCAATCCTCAATGTGGAAACAAGATTCGCACGTCCTGCATCCTGAATGACTGTGTTATCTTGTAAAACTATGACGGGTTTCTGTATCTGGCCTGTAAGATAAAGTGTGTTTCAGCACGGCACCGTACTTGATTAGTGTTCCGTTGATGGTTATGAAGGGGTAGAAGTAGACTCCTGCGTCGAAGTTCTTCTGGTATTTGGATATGGCGTGCGGGCCTAGTGAGCAGATGAGGGCTAGGTAGTGCGGAAGGTGTTGTTGGAGGCCGATGGTGTGCCAGGTGTGAGCGTCTGAGATACCCAAGATGAAGTCGACCATCTTGCGGGTGGCCTTCTCGGGCCTAGGTTATTGCCAGGGTGGGTTTCTGGTGGAGTCGGGGATTGAAGCTGGTCTTGTTTGTGGTTTGGGGGGGGCCGTAGGCGATGCTGTAGGCAATTGGGGCGCGAAATTGTTGGGCTATTTGTTGTAGGGCATATTTAAACTCAGGGTTGGGTGGCATTTGGGGCAATTTGGGATCTTGTTGCTGGCGATTTTTCCTAACTGACGTCCTGGATTGGGATATGTTTTTAGGGTTAGTTGAAGGTTTTGTTGTGTAGTTAAAGGAAGAACAAGGGCAAAAGTACGTCTGATAAGATTGACTATTTATGCTGACTCAGGTAACACTAAATCTAGCTACTCAATACTAGTCATACTGAGTAGCTTTTAATGTTATTAGTGTTTGTGATACTTGAATTATTATGTGGAATACACCCAGCTCCAACTTTAGATGGTTTACTACATTAATCTCGTTATTTAGCCGAGTAAGCCGTATATGGCCATAAGCAATGAGGTGCACGAATGATTATGGCGGAGAGGTCGAGGGAAATGATACAGGATAACGGCAAAGTCTCATCTCGTTAAAGCCAGATCAAATCTCAATCGTATCTGTAAGTCCTGGGAATCCGACAAGCAGTTCATCCAGAAAAGATGAGCTATAGAAATCAAGTTCTTGAAATGCCGGAACAGCAGACAAGGAATCGTCACCAGCTTCGGCAGAGCTCAACTTCTCGACCAGATCGCTGCATGTCATCAAACAGTTATCTGCAAGATCCCAAGAAAAGCGATCGCGATGTGATCGAAGTGTACTGATCATGTCTTCGGCAAGTTTGAGGGGAGCATTGGAGAGTGAGTTCCTTCTACGAAGGCCGCTTCGAAGCAAGAAGGTAGTAGCGGAGGTCAAGGAGAAGGCATGTACAGGGATCCAGAAACCACGAAAATGTGACTCATCCAGCTCCTTCACCAGATGGACGATTTCCTCCGCCGCCCTTTGAGCTTGTGTATAAAATGGAGAGGTGGTGTCATCATCGTCAGCTTTCATAGTGTCCGCGTCGAGGTCGAGTTGGATACGCCTCAGCAAAAGCTTGACCGCTAGGTAGGCTAGTCGGAAGTTTGCCGCCCCTGGAGCATTTAAATGTGTCCCACGGAGGATGATGCGACGGATATCGCCGCTCAGAGATTCTTCCCAATCGGTGAGAAGCCGCTCGAGGTCTACGGAAGACATTTCTGGCGGATACGGCGTGCTCTCGGAGACTTTGTATACGTGTTGAAGATAAGTACCCAACACCTCAGTCAGTGTTATCAACGAGACGAAGACTAGGGCAGCTGCTATTTGGGAGTGAGAAGCATTGGGGGAACAAAGGTCGTCCATGATCGGATAAGGCACGTCGTATTGGGCACGATGGATCTGGAGGGGAGTCCCATAAGCCAAACTGCACCTGCGCCGGTGTGTCAGTGCGTGCAAGACATTAAATGTATAGATAAAAATGCTTAGTACCAACGGTCATGTATAACAACCAGCCACCAAATGCGAATCCGAAACTTTTTCTCCATTGGACGAATATTCCAATTGGAAGGGTCACGGTTTAAGCCCAGAGCATTGGACAAGGCGACTGCAGTCCCAACCATTCCCCCATTGCCGAACATGGAGGTACTTGGCCTTCCGCAAACATTCAGAATAATCGACATGACCGTCGATATTCCGGGAGACAAGAATAATTCCGAATGAAGAGCTTCGTTTGCTTGGTTCCAAATAAAGCGGATATCAGGATGTCGACCAGACCGCAGAGTAGGCGAATTCTCCCAATAGATCAGCGAGTTGGCATACAGATTGCAAAGGAGAGCCGGCGAAATATTTTCTTTATGTGTGCAATAGACATGTCGAAAGGACATTTCGTCGAATATAGGAAAACATATGTTGGCGTGGTGAAAAAACCTACGGAACGTTCAAGGAATCAGCCGGTCCCGAACAATTGGGAGTCAAGTTGATTACTTACAGGTCCACAACATCATCGACATTTGGCTCTAGGTACTTTTCTATGAGTTCACATTTTGTAGCGGGAAGTGACTGGTTTGCAGAAACTCCTAATGGCCGTCTGGGTACAGTGTTGAAGAGCACTGGTCTCACAGGCCGTCTCGAGTTCGGATCTGACCGAATTACGGACCTCCGACGAGCATCTGGAACGGTAGAGAGGTAGCTCTCCAGAACATCGTTATCTTCGGCAACTGCAGGACTGACGATATGCGAGGTATTGTCGCCGGCCTCGGCAACGATGCCCACCAGATTAGGAAATACCTCCCGGTCAAAATGTTCATGAGTGGGAGGGCACGATTGTGTCTCTAGACTCGCTGCAGGTCTGCTGATTGTTTGTGGAGCAAACTCTCTTGAGGAGTTAACTGCCTCTACTGGGTGAGTTAATACCTGTTGGGTGTGAAGGGGAGTTGAGGTCGAAAGGCTCTTCTTCGCTTGTGCTGCCGTTCTCGGTGCCTGTCGTGACTTGGGCGTCAACTTCCGCGGCGAAGCTACGGACCCTCGTTGGGAGCTCTCTCCCGGCCGAGGATAGATACAATCGGTACCATGAGCCCGACACATGATGCATTTGCCGGACGAGTCTGTTGTCCTACAGCGGGACTTGCGTTTTTTGCAAGGTAGGCAGGCAGGATACAGGTGAGACCGGTATGGCCGTGCTTCAGCGCTGTCTCCATCATCACAACCACCGGGGTCTCTCTCCATCTCAGTTGAGTACTCAATTCTTTTCCTTTGGCAAAGAGCGTTGAAGATGGAAGTCACAGCAATAGATGTGGGGAGAAGATATCTGTGGTCCCGCGGCAAATCCCGCGGCAAACTCCACCAGTGTTGTTCGACGCGCGAACGAGATACTTTTGCCATTTATTAGTAGTGAATATACTTACACAACCCGCGGTCAACTCCAGAGTATACTATAACAGACTCGCCGCGGAATACTCGGCTGCCGTTTCTCTCAGTTGATATATAAGTGACAGAACTATGAAAATGGAAACATTATTACTTATATCAAGTTTCGCCTGCGGTCTATCTCAAACGGCTTCCTATACTTTGCCTTCTTTCATACGTTCTCGTTTCTCTAGGACTTAAGTCAGAATAATACCAGCATACACACCATGGCCTCCACAGATACAACCGTATTCTTTTCCAAGGCGGACAAATACCTCATGAAAACGGGTGTCCCCTTCTCCCCGGTCATTATGAAAAAGGCCCAAGGCACCAGACTTTACGATGTCAACAACAGACAGATCCTCGACTTCACCTCCGGCCAAATGAGCTCCCTCCTGGGACATTCTCATCCGGAGATCGTCGAGGTTGTTCAAAAGTACGTCGCCGAGCTCGACCACCTCTTAAGCAACATGATCACCTACCCTGTCGTCGAGCTCGCTGAACGCCTAGCTCGCTTTCTTCCGGCGCCTCTAGAAAAGTCCTTCTTTCTAAATACCGGTTCCGAGTCCACAGAAGCAGCCATCAAGATCGCCAAATGCTATACTGGCAAATTTGAGATTGTTGCTTTCGCCGCAAGCTACCATGGATTAACTCAGGGGTCGGGCTCCGCGACCTACTCAGCCGGCCGTAAAAGCGGAGGCCCCTGCATGCCGGGCCAGCTTGCCTTTCCTGCTCCATATACTTATCGCTCGCCTTTCCGTAAGCCCGATGGATCTTACGACTGGGAGGCAGAGATGGAATTTGGCTGGTCAATGATTGACCGTCAAAGTGTTGGCTCCCTGGCTGCGTTTATCATGGAGCCTATTCTCTCCACAGGCGGTATCCTCGAGCTCCCCCCAGGATATCTGCAACGCATGAACTTGGAATGCAAGAAACGTGGCATGCTGATCATTATGGATGAAGCTCAAACCGGTGTTGGTCGAACCGGTCAGATGTTCGCTTTCGAGCAAGACGGAATTGTACCCGATATCCTGGCGTTGTCGAAAACGCTTGGATGCGGTTTGCCCCTTGCTTCTGTCAGTACAACCGCTGAAATCGAACGCGAGTGCACCGAAGCCGGCTTCCTATGGCTCACCACCCACCTTAATGACCCACTTACCGCTGCAGTGGGCAGTAAGGTCCTCGAAATCGTTGAGAGGGATAACATCTGTCAGCGAGCTGCGGAGCGTGGTGCGCAATTGCGCGACGGTCTCCTTAGGCTGCAAGAGAAGTATTGGTGTATCGGCGACGTCCGTGGCCGGGGTCTCTTGCAGGGCATCGAAATTATCTCTGATGCGGAGACTAAGGCCCCAGGCCCGGACCTCGGACAGGCGGTCTCTGATCGGGCTATGGCGTGTGGTCTCTCGTGCAACGTTGTTAATCTTCCAGGCATGGGGGGTGTCTTTCGTCTGGCTCCGCCTGTTACCGTTACAGCTGAGGAGATCGAGGAGGGCCTTACGATCTTAGACGAGGCATTTGACTATGTTTTAAACGAGAACAAAGATTAGGTTGTTGCCTGGACTTCTGGTATCTTCGTGTACTTCGTTAATCTTTAGGCTAGTGTTCATTTGTCCCATGACAATTTTCCTGACAGCTAGAGATCCTTATATCGAGGTAGGCGATTCTACAACATCATTTTCTACTGGCTCTCATCCACCTTGTCTTACCAACAATCAGTAATTTTCTTTAAGTATTCCTATAAAGGCCTGATGGCTACGAATATGTGGAGACCAGACCGTCACTTTGAATGTACAAGTCCTAAACTCGGGGCGAGCCTTGATCCATGTTCGTAGAGAACCCTTTCCGATTGCTAGACACTTGCTAATGTGGTTTTTTGTTTCCATGACCGCCCCAATCGACCGTAATATCAATAGATGTACCATAGCCGTAGCAGCTTATAGGTTGCCCTCCACTATCATACCAACATAGTCCTTCGTCACCTTTTGCTAGTCTTCTCACGTAATCATCGTTTAAGAACTTCAGTGCTCTCGGCTTTATGCAGGGAGATAGCTAGTACATCAAGCTTAGTGTTAGAGTCCTAGTTCAAAGCTCAGTGCATGGATTTAGAAGATATTGAAGCAGCACTAACAACACTGCTGGATCCTGCTCCTCTCTCAAATTGCGCCACATCTCTCATGTTGAGCGCAGTTTTCCACCAGGCCACCCGCACGACCGATATTGAAATTGATAATCAAATCCGGTCTCTAGCAGCGCTTTATCTAGAGATTTGACTCTCCGTATGCATTGGCTATACCCATGCATTCTCACTCGGTAGGCTTTATGTGGTTGATAACCTTTCCTTGCAGTATGCTTTTTCCAGTTTGAACTGACGACGAGTATCATCCTCTACCGAGTCTTCTTTCACCGGCTTGGTCAATTCCCTGGACCACGGACGGCTAGGCTGAGCCGACTATTTACAATGTACCAGAGGATGAAACGGGATCAATACCACCTAGCAATCTTGAGGCGATGCACCGCAAACACGGAGAGTTTGTATGTACAGGTCCCTATGAAATATCCAGAAATTGTCCATTGGCTTTTAAATATAATCAATAAGCCCTAATCGTCCTGTACACGGTCTAGCCTGTACAGCTATATCTCTAATGACAATTCTACAGGTTTCGATAAATCCCACCCGTGATCCCGAGGTGTATCTTCGACGACGAAGGACATGGGACTGAGGGGTTCAGTATGAAAGGTAAAAATAAACCAAGCCATCCTCGCCTATCCTATACATTTTTGTAATACAGATTTAAATCGTAAGCTTAAAAGTATTGGCGGTCTATGAACCTAGCGTTCAAAATAAGGCCGATGTCCTTGTTTCTCAGATTCGCTCCTGTTTGGGTGGACCTCTCGACATCTTATAGTGGCCCACTTAATCTTCCTTTAATGTAATGGGTTTTGTCGGCATTTCCAAAGACTTTTGCTAGTTGGAGAAGGGTATAGAGCATGTTACAATTGAGGATCTCCACGATTAAATATTGTATATATGAATTCGAAGCCTGTTCTCAGAATACAGAGACTCTTTTTTTTTTTTTTTTTTTTTTTGGCTTAATACAGGGGCTAATGGATAACTATGGTTTGTTGATGATATAATTCGCAAGCCAGATAGCGGAGAAGAGAGCTGTGAGTCTAACAACTTTTCTCTTTCTTATTCTGAGTATTGAGTGCGACGTTTGTTCCCCCTTTTGATAATTATCACCCTGGTTCTCACGCCGCTTCCCTTGTCTTTGTTTTTGACAATAGCTTCTCTCCATGGTATCAATTAGTAATATGAGTTTGCTTAGCAACGGAATGTGGAGAAAAAAAAATAAAAATATAACCCAGAAGGATGTCATATCCTGGCTTGTGAAAGCCGTTGAGAAGAAAGATCTGTCTGCTCCCCCAGGTAAGAAAGCTCTCAATGAGGATGGGCATCTGCTGATTATTGCCAGAAGTTTAGAGCGTCATTTCCCCCCAATCATTCATACAATGCCCTGGGTACCTCTTAAGTGACACGAGTGGGATGACTCTACACACAAAGATATGCCCACTAGTCGAATATTCATGAAGCTACTCATCCTTTCTAATTCATTGTATAGCTTCTTTGTCTAGGAAATACTCATGGAACTTTCCATATATACAATACCTAGGACAAAAGAACTGATTAGGACAGAAATGGTGGTACAAAACTACGCGTCGTACCAGGGTAGAAAGTGTGCCGCAGTACTGCTGTCCCTACCTCTCTCAACGCACACACAATTTTGTGTTTCTTGAAGTACTAGCACCAGCTTCAAAACCATCATCTTTATACCATTTTAATCCTTCCCACATAATTCCCCCTCAACCCTTCCCCTTTTTCCACGCTATCATGGATCTACATTGCGAATGCATTAGGAACGGCTATGATGAGTGTCTATGTCGGTTCTGTACGAGATGTGGAAAGTTTGGCCACAGAAAATATCACTGCAGAGCAACGCAATGTGGCCAATGTAGATCGTGGCATCTGTTAGGAAAGTGTCCCCTTGAGGTGAGACAGTATATCCGAAGGCGAAGTGCCGAGAGCGCTTCATCCTCCGAAGAAGAGATTATTCAGCCAAACACAAATACTCTTGATGGAGTAAGTTGTTACCAGTCTATAAGCTATCGAGCATACTGGAGAGGTGCTTAAGAAATCATACAGAGCATTGTTCCACAGTCAAATGCCCACGCTGAGCCACCTAAGGAAAACCAGCTAAATGAGAACCCTAGTGTGGAAAGGCCTGCAAGGACTAGAAACAATTTTACCGCAGGCGTAGTGGGGGAACCACTCCAGCTCCAGAATATTGGGCCTGTCAATCGTGCACTCATCCTAAAGCAACTCATCTCAAAAACAGCAGAAAAATATGAAGAGAGATATGCGTCCATATTAGACACAGATGATATTGGGGCAATTCTGGAACAGCGCTTAAATTCCACTGTAAGGGACATATGCAAAAACGGTGAATTTACGCTCTCGAAGTATATCGCCCGCTTCTTCACCCTTTCTGGAATCTTTCTAATGAAGGAAAATAGTTTGATAGCAATTGGTCAGAACCCAGAAAACCTATCCATTTGTGGGGTTTACCTCCACATCCTGTGGAGGAGAAGCAATCCGCAAAAGTTTTGGTTATACGTCGGACAAGCAGCAGAACTTCGAGAGAGAATTCGAACACACAACGATATCTACCGCCGGAAACGTAACCCATCGTTACACTACCATGTTTGGGACTCATCTGAAGACATGGAGTCGGTATTTGTCACCCTAGGCACCAGTGAAAAGCCAACATCTGCCAAAACACAGCTATTGCTGAACCTCCTCGAAATGTGGGTGGCACTGGTCTTCCAGACATTGACATCATTACACCTAAATGAGTATCTACCCGAGAGTGTAAACAGACTCTGGTCAGGGCATCACCTTAATGTTGCACTACCCTTGTGGCAAGGCTTCACGGAGGAAAACCAGGCTGTGAGCGAGGCAGTTGGCGGGCGAATATCTTTTCAGCAGCATTTATTTTCTGAGGACCCGAGAATTCGTCAATGGGCAGAAAGTGCAAGAGACGCGTTCAACGATATACGAAACTCTCCCGACGCTCTGCTAAGACAATATTATCAAAACCTTCTCTCCAAGCGTCGAGCCCAGGGCCAGCAAGCCTGGCAGAAAAAAAAGTCGACGAACATCATGAAATACTTGGAACCAACAAAGGCAACAGTAAAGGCGTCCCATGAGGATGAAATATATGAAGTGTCATGCGGTTCCTTCAGATTTACAATTTCACAGTTGCTTGGGCTACATTTGAGAGGTGGTGACGAAGTCTTTGTTCAACTTCACTTAGCTGGAAGCCGTCACCCCAACGCCTATGCTCAAATGGCCGAAACAAGGGACCCAGCAAGCCGACTAGCAATTTCGATTAGCGGCCATGATGCCCAGGGGGGCTTCCACACCTGGCTCCAAACCAAGGGGACTCGAAATGTTTTCAAGATGAATTCCCTAGTTGATGTGCTGGAGGGATATTCCTTGGAGGAGAGCCAACATTTCCAACGACGTTGGCATTCCATGAGGCTGGTTCCTTGTGATAGTTCTTCGCGGAAACATGTGTATACTTGAGCACAAACATAGGCTATAGCCCTCGGCTTTGAAACTTATCTCGGCAAGCTCAGCCTCTCTGGACGAGGAATTATGTTAGAGCCTTTTATTGATTAGTAGACGGCAGCCTCATTCCTTGTAGAGGGTTTAAGAAATGATGTTCAGTATTTATATTTAGGCGCGTTTGTCTTTCTATAAGAATGTAATTGACTTTTTGGTAGCTCTATTTCCACATTTATAATCTAGATACCATATATGATATTGTAAAGCGGTCATATGTCGTCATACCGCTACTATGTCGAATCCCGTAGGTCAAGTCCCGAGTCGTCGTCGCTTACGTTGTCTCACAATGCATTCCTACACTACCGGCCGGTACGGCCCATGAAGAAAGGAGAACAGGGCTAGTTTCATTGACTATGGCAACTGACTGTATTCTTATATGTACAACTTTAGGGATCATGTGTGATGTGATAGAAAGGGGTCACCCCACTACAATATATATAATGCTTAGTACGCTTCGCTCCGCTGCGCAATGATTAAAAGGACAAACCGGAGCATATATACACATTATAGGTTAAGATTAAGGTATCAGATTCCCTAGAATCCTGATTCTTGATGAAAAAGATTATAATTTTTTCAATCGAGATTTCTAATAAATACCGGGAAGATGCGCTAAAAATATCGAATAGATTTTAGTCGGTTACTTAACGTTGTGAGCTGGCTGAGATAAGATGGATAGGCGCTCGAGTACCCTCTACCATTGTAGAGCCAAAACAAAACAAAAAAAAAGATAGCATGTCCTGGTTTCGATCCAGGGACCTATTTTTTGTTAGGAATCGGATTGTAATTGGCTGGTGAAAGGATAAATCGTACCTCCGGGTTATGAGCCCGGCGCTCTTCCCCTGAGCTAACATGCTCTGATTGGTTATCAGCAACACTTTACACAGACTTGAGTAGAAATTTCAAACTGTCCATATGTCTTCTTTTCTCTTCCCACCCCCCTCGTTTTGTAGATTTAGTTGCTATATAGGTGACTCCAGGACATTCTGATTCCTGAATCGTAGGTTCAGAATCAAATTTATGTGATCTTTAGACTTTTTGGTCATGTGGAATATCGGGCCCACCCAACAGTATATAGATTTCGATCGCGCAGAGGATTCAGATCGTCAAGCGATTCGTTCTGTTCTACCTTCTTATAATTATCCAGCCAGTAAAACTACTATACAGATATTAAATATAGCTACTATTATATCTTAAAAATAAAGTCTTATAAACTACTAGCTAAATATCTAAAGCATTATATCTATTCAAATATAATTTCTAAAGATAGCACTCAGCAGTGTCAATTGCAATACCACACGGTCCACACCTCACAGCAAGAATTCATTGCTGTCTCAAGTCTAGGAAGATAATACTGCAGTGCACCCGAAGTAAAATACTCCAAAGATACAGGCAATCTTGCTGGTTGTGGACCGGCCAGACGTTTCACTTGATTGTACTGTACTGTACAACAAAACAAGTAGGACAGGAGGCGAATGGCGATGAATGCGGATTAACCATACTGTCCAACATTGCACTGTATTTATTACCTGTTGACACTGCCCTCTTAGGCGGTAAAATTCTAAAAGCAATGATCTTTAGAGTGTACGAAAGAAACAATGATGTTATACCTAGGTCCTGAGCTTGCTGGAGAATTATTCAGTAATGTAAAATCCAAAGGTCATGTCTTAACCGTGGCAAGCAGCTGTTATATGAAAAGTAATTATCCATACCAAACCAACCAGGATGGATATCTCCCGCTATGCAGATCAATACAAGGACAAAAAGCTTTAACCTTGTTTGATCTTTCTAGGGAACGATAACGCTATAGCCAAGCATCACATGGCAGTGATATTCAGCACAAAGGAAAGCACCTAACAAGTCGTTAAGCGATTGTCCCCTTTCTTATACACTATCAACACCCTACAATGTGTTAGTATACTCAATATGAAGCACATTGAAAGCTGCCAATAAAGCTGAGTGCGAGCCAGTATACTGTTCTTATAAATAACTCTACAATCCACATGCTGATACTCGATAGCAGAAGTCCACGGGTATTTTACCCTCTTGACTACGCCACCTGTCGTCCTCCTTCGTACGTGCGATTAGATACACTATTCATATTTACGATATGAAATCTGGTCTTTCCATAATATTAAATGAGATATCCTTGATCTGCATCGTGACCTCTGACCCTAGAAATACTGGATATCATAAATTTCCGATCCTTTACTTGTCCCACCCGCACGTCATATCTCCCAAATTGAACGAGCGGGCTCTCAATTAACGAGTTTATTCGACAAGATGATAGACCACAATATATATTCCTTTGAGCACTATGGGAATATATGCGCACGGCACCGAAGTGGATACATCATCAACTCGTTACAACGTGTCTACAAAGATCGAAATTCTAACGCGCTATCGCACCTTTATAACACATGCACCGCAGCTTCAAGTATAGAACCGGAATCTATGCTACTAACCCATCCGGTGTTCACAGGGAATACCACCTTCGTGCGCCAAGGCCCCTTGTTAAACTTACCCGGAAAGTCATCGCTCCACCACAACCTCCTCCCACTTTTGCATCTATGGCAGCTGCGCTGCCCTATCCTCCTGTCCCTACTGCTATTTCACAACAGGAGAAAATTAAGGCACCACTTTTGTAAGAAGACAATCCCTAAGAGGAAAACTGCCTTAGCCGTGATACCTACATCCAAAGAACCCCTAGATGTATTATTGTACATCGCTGCAGTTTCCGCCTTACTTCTTCAACGTAACGAGCAACTAATAGGAGACGGCAAGATAACTGCTAAGTAGGCTAAAGGATCAAAGAGATCCTTGAGGACCGTGAAGTAGGATCTTTACCTGTTGTTCGAGTGCCTACTACCTTCTTACAGTTTCGTATCATGGCAATATATCCATACCTAAGACGAGCACTGTCTCTGCGCTACCGAATGACAAGCATTGGCACCTAGGCCGGATATAAAAAGACCTTCGATACCCGGGATAATTTTGAGATTATCGAAGAGATATTATTAAAAGTAAATAGGAGCAGGACAAAGTAAACAGCTGTTATATATTGTACGCGGCTATATAAAATATTTTTATCCTGTCTAAGATATATAAGCTTATTCTTATAGCTATATAACAAGAAAGACTATCTCTAAATCCTATACATTATATATTATTTAATATATAATATTACTTTTTAATATACTCTTATAGATTTTATAATCGGGTTACTACTGTTAAAAGGAGGCTTAGATATCCTGTGAGTTATTGTTAATAAGTTCATTAATATAGCTTGATTTCCTTCAGATATTAGTAGGTTTATATAATTACATACAAGGCCCAACAGGAGTCCAAACGGAAACAGCATGCTAGAGACAGAGTAGGCCTCCATCTCATGCATTTGACAATGCAGGGTCAAGTAACTCCCGCATATCAATGAATGGCGCGGCGAAAGACCCTTCAAAACCAGTCAAGGACGCAATAACCCAAGATGCAGGCAGTGTAGTGTTGCTACTGAAACTTGTTAAATTATACGGAACGTACTCATTCTGCGAATGGTACTTGAATTTGTGCGAAATTCAGCATCGTCTAGCTTGCAAATAGCAATTCAAAAAGCTGCATTGGTCGGCCGAGTATGTAAGCTTGTTTGACCGCACTTATCCTTCACATTGACATCTGCACCTTTCTTCAGTAAAAGTTGCAGCATCTTCATTATACTGCGTTTGCTTCTATCGTACATGACTAGCGTTAGCACCAATGGCAGGCCAAGCTCCCCTGAAGGTGTGTTCTAATCCGCGCCTTTTCTCACCAAATGTAGGGTATCTGTAAACCGGGTATTCTAGACGCGGAGGCATAGACTGCTGTCGTCGTAAGGCTGTCATTCGATATTGATATTTGCAATATGATAACAATTCCAAAAGCAATGATCTTCGGAGTTTAATGAAGAAGAAATAAAGAGGTTATACCCGGATCACGAGTCTGTTGGAGATTTATTCAGAAGTACAAAATCCGTCTAAATTGTTGCAAAGGAGTTGTTATACGAAAAGTAAGTATCTACACCAAACCAACCGATATGTATATTTCCCGCCGTGCAGACCAATAACCCCTGAAAACGCCTTACCCGACTAATACAACGCTTGCTATACTGTAAACTGAGCAACTTATGCACGGTATCCCATCGAATCCCGACAATCCTGACACCCAAGTAGTACCGGTAAATGGTCTCCGATCACGATTTGCTCTGCACGATGCTGCATGGCCCTTCTCGACGCCAGCTCCTGACGAGCAACCTCAAACCAGACGTCCTGTACAGAACTATGCATATGACTATTCGGTGCTTTTTCGAAGACCAATGAATTCATATCGTCCTTTTCGTTCGACGTAATATCATTGTGGAAGTTGCGCATGAAATCTTTCCGCTGCATTCGTTGGTTCCCGCCGTCACCGATCTCAGCAGAGAAATACTCCACGAGACGGATAAACGGCGAGACCGTAAGTAACGAACTAATCCAACTGTCATCTGATGTGCCAGGTTCGTCTGGAGGTACTGTATATTGGAGGTATGAAACAAGGAGCTGCATGCAATGATGTGTAGCGATGAGAGTGGCGGTGTTTGTGAAAGGGGGAGACCGTAGTATCTTGACTTGCAGGCTTCGGTACATAGACTTGCGGACGCCCGGGGGAATGGGCACGGGTAGTCGTCCAGCTTCGAAATCGCGCAGAAGAATGTTGGTCTGTTCCCGTCTAGCGAGAGTATAGGACTCAAGGAAGTATAGAGTATAATACCTGGAGAAGTCATTAGAGAGCACGTCAGGAGTGCTACTTGAGAGTGACACCTACATCAGCGGCGTAAGATAAAACCATATCTTCGCAGTCCCTCGTTTCATGAAATCATTGCGCTCGTTTCTGGAGGGGAACATAGACTTCATGAACGCCGGTTCGCTTGCGGCGAACCGATCCATGACGCG